ATTCTGTATTTGTAAACGTATGGCCACCTTCTTTCCCAAAGTTTAAGAAATCCATAAAATCTATGCAATCAAGTAAGCTTCTCAGTTTGAGACACTGTTGCATAGAATATCAACAGCATAGAATTGTTTGTAATTATGGTGGTCATCTGAATTTACCTAGCAGTCATAATCTGATACTGTAGTTCTATTCTCAATTATACAGAATCACTTCCTTCCAGAACTGTAAACTGTGCCATTATGCATGCTTTCACTCCCTACTAAGACAACCAGAATGGTTGATATGTGCTGAATGGCACTATCCCTAACATCTTTGGGAAGGGAACCTCCTATATGAGTGTGTCAAGGCTTCCTGCTACTTTTACGTCCTCAACTTAATTTTGTCTATTAGTTAGTATCAAATAAAGATACCTTACCCTCATGTATCTTTCTTCACTCCTCAGATATGAAAACTTGTCAATGATACAAATCAGGAATTTCCTAGGAGGCCCCCGTTTAGCAGAATTTGCCTCTCAGTAAATGTTAGAGAAATTAAACTCCTTCTTCATTCATCACTATGATTTTATGTCTCTTTGAAAGATATGCAGTTTGCTTTTGGAAGGCGTTATCCACATCATCTCTTTGGCTGAGAGAGCAACTCTATATGCCAAAAAACATATTGCTTCTATTTGCTTTTATACTTATTTTAACACAGTTGATCTTGCCAATTCATTCTTTAGAATTTCTGAGTGGAATTGATTTTTTAAAAAATATACATTGCAATTCCTCTTCTCTTTCTATTGCTTTTGTTTCTTTTTAACAAATAGTATCTTTCAATTGTTCTATTCTAGGACATATGAATCATCCCACCAAGATACATATTAAAACGTATTTGCCTCTCTATTCTAATAGCTTCAGCTAATCTCATTTATTTCTTGTATTTTGAAAACTAGTCAAGGACAGCCAGGAATATTTTTTATTAATCCTTGTTAAGTGCAATTCATTTTCATCTCATTAGGATACCCCAGAATTTATTTCCAACACACAAATCTCTCAATGATATCCAAATAGTCAATATCATTTATGTTGTCTATTTCCATTTCCAATCTTTTTTATAGACTGGAAGTATAGATGAATGCACCACTTGAGCTTTTATGGTCATGTGTTTCCTTCTTAAATTTGCAAAGTTTGTAGTAATATATTTATAGATGTTCTTTGTAGTATCATTTACTTATATTAGCAGAAAAGAATAATTGTCAAGGAATGAATAAATTAAGAAGTTGTTTTTTGACATCCCTAATCCTTGCTCTGAACAGATAATATCCTTTATAATTTAATTAACATCTATAATTTAATTAATTAATTAAAGGAGAGAATGGTTGATAGCTGACTTCAAGAAGACAAGTTATTGTGAATGAAGCCAGCTTGCTAACCAACAACTAATTTCAGATTTATACTCCACATTCCAACAAATGAGAACTATCTGTCCTCTATAGCCTCAGAATCTGATTGAACCCAGCTCAGTGGTGGGATGCAACCAGTTTAACAACTGGTTCGTGACCGCGCACTTTGCGTGCGCACCTGATACACTTACATGCAGCGTTCAAAATACAGCAATTTGAAGCTCAGCTGCTTACCTTCTAAGGCAGCCCCAGTAAGTAGAACAGTGGAGGTGTGGAAATCAGCTGTGCCGCGCAAATCAGCTGAGGCAGAAAGAAGGAACTATAGGAAAGGATACGGCGGGTGCGGGTGGCTGGGGCCAGCTGATCATGAGAACTACTGGTTCGCCTGAACTGGTCCGAACTGGCTGAATCCCACCCCTGACCCAGCCCCTCCTTCTCTGGATATAAAAAAAGGCACAAGTAGTCCTCAACTTACAACTACAATTGAGCCTGAAATTTTGGTTGTAAGTCAGGTCACCACGTGACTGTACTCTATTTTATGACTGTTTTTACAATAGTCATTAAGCAAGTCACCACTGTAACTGTTACATGAATCATGTGGTCATTAAATAAAGCACATGGTGGTAAGTCCAAATCTAGCTTATCCAATGAGCATTTTTTGCTGGAAAATGACAAAAAAGTCACAAAATGTGATCATGTGACTACAGGATGCTGCAACTGGTCCTAAATCGCATCCTGGACATAAACTGTTTCAACTCCTACTCTCAAAACGACGCTACAGAGCACTGCACACCAGAACAACTAGACACAAGAAGAGTTTTTTCCTGAATGCCATCATTCTGCTAAACAAATAATTCCCTCAACACTGTCAAACTAGTTACTAAGTTTGCATTACTATTAATCTTCTCATCGTTCCTATCACCCATCTCCTCCCACTTATGACTGTATGACTGTAACCTTGTTGCTGGTATCCTTAAGATTTATATTGACTGTTTCCCTATGACTATCATTAAGTGTTGTACCTTATGATTCTTGATGAATGTATCTTTTCTTTTATGTACACCGAGAGCGTATGCACCAAGACAAATTCCTTGTGTGTCCAATCACACTTGGCCAATAAAGAATTCTATTCTATTCTATTCTATTCTATTCTATTCTATTCTATTCTATTCTATTCTATTCTATTCTATTCTATTCTATTCTATTCTATTCTAATTCTGTTCTATTCTATTCTAAATGCAAGCCAAGTCCCAAGTACCCAAAATGCAATTACATGATCACAGGGGTGGCGAGGAAGTCATAACTCTGAGGACAAGTCATAAGTAACTTTTTCAAGTCTGTCATAACTTTGAATGGTCATTAAGCAAGGGTTTGTAAGTCAAGGACTACCTGTACAACTGCTTAAAAACAAAGTGTTGGGTCAAGGAAGCAAGAACTACACAGCTTTCAATAAGGCAACTGGAACATTAATCAGAGGTAAATAATGAATCTTGGAAGCTGTTATAAGAATTTCCAGCTTTATTTATACTCAGTTAATTAAGTCAGAATCTCTGAGCAATTTGAAATGATTCTTCCCAGATCTCTATCCACCTGGGCTAAATTGCCACTGAGGTAAACTGACAACTGACTCACTATCTTTTGTTTATGTCTGTATTTTCTTTCATTTGTTTCCTAGTCTCCCTAGAAACTTACACAAAACTCCAGAAATCCATATTGAGTGACTGATTAAGAATAAGGTTCTCTCTATATATAATAGTTTTGAGAAACTATGTGGAGTTCTCAAGTTCAGGGAATTATAGCACCGAAATATATAGTTTTAAGTAATTGCTGTTTTTGTAGAAATAGATAAAACATCAGGCTGGGGTTTTGCACTAGGTTTTTGTATCTGTTTGCTGTATTGAGCTAAATCTAATAATATCTTACTCTCTATACAAGTCAGAGAATTGGATGTAGATGTAGCTTTTATATATTCTTCAGACTGCACTAATAAGATAAAAAGTCTTGTATAGAATCTTTTGTTGAACTGTAATTGCAGTGAGCACAGAGAATGGCCTTGAAGGACAGAGGAAATGTTTGTTACTAAGGCAACAAACAGATAAATAAGTCTTGATTCCAAGGCAAGAAAATGGTTATGAAAATGCCTCAGTCAGGTCTTCCCCTTAATTCATATGAAGATAAAAAAGGAAAGGAAGGGAAACACATTCAGATTTTGTTACTACAATTGTTTTAAGTAGCTTTAGGCCTGCCTGGTCTTGGTTTCTTAGTTTGGTCTACATTATAGGGCTGATAATAATATTGGTAATTCTTTTCCCAGTCTCTTCATGGAAACATCTAATAAAAGGGCTCTCTTGTAGCACACCATTGCCATACCATCATCTTGTAGTTTGGACTATTGGACTTTCTTTTGGATATTTTTACTTTGAAGAAGTTGCCTGCTGGCACATACAATGCATGAAATTCTGTATACACATTTTACATAGAGACTCAGGAAGGGTGCCAAATAAAATATCTCTTAGAAGACAGGTAGTGGCAGCAGGAATTATCAAGCTAATACCTAAAAGAAGAAGGTGGGACAACTGTGAAAACTCAGAGGACTTCTGGGAGAGGAGGTTTGTGTCAATCCTTTGAGGTAGTTCAAGTCTGGGAACAGACAAAACAAAAGCTACTGGAATTCTACTTTATTGTTTTAAGGTGAAATAATGGCATCTTCAAAAGCCTGTCAGAATTCTTTCTCCTTTCCTCTTATGCAAGCAAGGCAGGGTAAGCTTGAGTTTCTTCCTTGTCATCTCTATCTTTCTGAGCTAAGCTGATGTTTTCAATGATGGCTGCTGCATAATATCTTTAAGATTATCTCCTTACTCCTCTACAATCGTCACAAAATGCTAACCTAATCATGTATTTTATGTTCACAGGATTGATAATTGACTGATTATGTGCCATCAAATCAGTGTTGGCTCTTAACAAGCACAGACAAATCTTTAAATCATTTGTCCAAAGTAGGAATAATTTGAACCAGGTCATTTGTGCCTCTAGTCTAGTGTGAATTCTGACTTGATTTGTTTATTGATCCATTTGTTGGATGTCTATGATATTCTCAGGTTTCTCTTAACACCAAATTTCAAAAGCAGCATACTCTTTCTATTCTTTAAAGTCCAACTTCTGCTTCTTTAAAGTTTAACTATAATGTCACAAGAGTACCATTGCTGATGTTTGTAGTTATAGATACATCACAAATCTGAGTTTCTTTTTCAAGACTTTCAGAGCTATTTCTACCACAGATTAAGTGATAATCTGTGGTATATTTCTTCATTGCATGTTCCTTTATGTTTATGTTCACAAGATAAGGAAGATTATGTATTTATTTATCCCATCTCACCAAACAAAGTGACTGTGGTCAGCTAGCTTAAACAGTCCAAAAATACCTAAAACCATAAATTGTTAAAATCATTAAAACCATTAAAAAGACCTGAAAAACAGAACAACAAATAAGCAAAAGATGAAAGGATGTTAATAATAATGGAGCTACCTCGCTAGTTTACCCTCCCTCTGGGGCCTAGGCCTGCTGGCATAATCAGGTCTTAAGGCACCTTTGGAAACTCAAAAGAGATGAGGTGACCTCACCTGGGCCAGAAGATTCCACAGCACGGGCACCACAGCAGAAAAGGCCTGCTTCTTAGGACCCACCAAATGTAGCTTCCTGGCACTCATAACATGCCATCTTTGCTAGATTTGTGAGATGGGTAGATGAAATCAAAGAGAGGCAGTCCCTCAGATAACCCAGTCCTATGCTATGAAGGGCTTTAAAGGTGAACACCAGTACCTTGAATTGGACCTGGAAAAGAACAAGTGCAGCTCATGAAGCAGAGACTAAAGACACACATAAATGCTCACACTGTTGCATTTTGCACCAGCTAAAGTTTCTAGATACTCTTCAAGGGCAGCCCCATGTAGAATAAACTACAATAGACCAACTAGAAAGTGATCAAGGTAAGAGTATTGAGAGTCCTTTCTATCTACTAACAGGACTAGGACTATCAATAATGTACCTTCCTCCATGTAATAGATGCAGTGAGCATTAATGCATTGTCAGCATGTTCCAGGTTCCAATCAGTCCCAGTTATTTTTAAGGATCTGATGCAGATAATCTGACTGTTGTTTGAGTAGTCAAGCATATAATTCTATAAAAATACAGTATGTGTAACTGTATAATATTTTTGTAGTCAGATAAAAATAATTAAGGAAATGCCAAGCATTTTGCCAAGCATTTAGCATTTGGAATTCAGTTGTCTTTTCTCCATGAGAAAGTTTTATGTTCTCTAGAAAAGCATCAGCCATATACATATAATAAAGCATAAAATTAAAAAAAGTCAACCAGAAATACAACACTCTTAAATTAATACCTGAAATAAATGCTATCCCCCAAATATTCTGGTAAACAGATTGAAAAAACCCCAGGAAAATGTCACATGGCATATTATTTATTATAGGATATCTGTAGTTGCAATACAAGAGATTGTTCATGTAACTAAAGATGCAGTACCTCTTTGTTTGTTATCCAAGATCCTTGCAAGATAGGTCAGAAGTGCAGAATTAAAACAATATATAGTCTGTCACCATTTCCCTTTCATGTAGAGAAGAAAAGATTCCAGGCTAAGAGGTTCTTGGCTGCCAGGGAGGAGGGCCACTTAACTTGCTCCCACTCACCTCAGGTCTACCTGAGTAATTACAATCATTGTAGTTACCCACACAGCCCTTAAAAGAAATCTGCAAAGAAATCCAAGTTAACTTCCTTCACAAAGGTAATTAAAATAGTGTAAGATAATTAAGGAAATAGTGAAGCATGCAATTTGAATAGTAAATAAAATCCGAAAACATTGGTCTAGCAGCAAGTACGTAGTGCTGAGATAAGACATTTTAGCCAAGCAGGATTGATTGAATAACAGTTGGGTCAATGAGTCACTCAGAAACTGCCCAAGAACAGTGAGAAACAACAAGATAGGTATTTTGCCAGGTTATATATTGTTCAGCTGAATGACTTTAATATCCTTTCTCTGATCAATGAATAAGATTATAGTAGGCATGGAATATGTCGGCATTATTCTGTTAATTCTGTTAATACTTTCAGTAAATGAGAATAGATAGAACAGTTCCTGCCAGTAGCCTGGTACATTTACAAAGAAAATAAGCTATAAGTAGCCAAGCTAAGAAATCACACAGCCATCTTGGCTAACTTCAAGGGAATTTTAGGAATGGCAAAAAGAAAAAAAAATTAACACCAAGTTTCCTGAGGTACTATTGCACAGAAATGAACAGCCAAGGAACAGAGTGGGAGGGACTATGAACTGCCAGGAGCAATGCAAGAAGTTGTACAAAGGACAGGCACAGTTTGCTTATAGTGGCATGGCCATGCTATGCCTATGTAAGGGCCTGTAATGTCGGGAGTCCATCACCCTTATATATTATCTGACTATGGTTGCCAATATGTAGGCACCAGGTGTTCCATCTGTACTGAACTGCTACTACAGTATGTAGTAGGGCTAGGCAAATAAGCTGGAGAAGGTTTTAATCATAGCAATGTTGCAAGGTAAGTCCTGTTCTTGAAACTGTGAAGAGGTAATGATCTCATAAAGGTTTAGGATAGTTCACGGGTGTCAAACTCACAGCATCAAATTGCTATCATGTGATGTTTCGTGACTTTTTTCCCTTTGCATAGCTGGGATGGGCCTGGCCTGCGCATGACGCATCCGGGCCACCAGTTTGATACCCCTGATCCGATAGTCACTCTGTGGGTCTTTTCAGATCATTTGCTCATACAGAAAACCCCTCCAGTTGAATTGCTGCCAAATAATTCATACAAATCTACTATACAATATATACTACTGTTCATCCCAAACTTGTGAAGAATTACAGGGTTTAATTTTTTTGTGAAATAAAATTATGGGGAACATTGCAGATCTCATTGTCTAACAAAAGGTAATAGAATACTGATAAATCAAACCAGTTATTCAGCTTCTATGTTTATTCATAAATTATCATGTGTATGGTACATTATATAAGAAAATAATTCAATCCAGATAAACTGTTGATATCCTGCTGGTATGTTTTCAATCTCCAGGCCATCTGTCAGGATTCAAGTCTGAATGTAGGGTTTTAAAAACTGGTCTTTCAACTTCAAGCACTGGCCAGGAAGATAATAACCCTCCTTCTCCTAGTAGTTTAATACATAAAATGGGCAAAAGATGTACTACATGACAATCAGCAGATAGCAGCCTTATAATCAATTAGGGCAAACAGCCCTTGTCATGTTCCCTTTCTACTTTATAATAATGCAATAGTATGCTTGCTATTTAAACCTAATAAGCAAGGAGCTGCCATTCCTTTTTTCAATTTCACAACGTGTATCCACTGACTTCTCCTGTTTTGTTCTTAAGGTATCACTACTATTGACCTGTCAGGATGCCACTCCATTACTGTTACAGACTGCTCCTTTATGTTCTATGACCAATTATGATAAGCAAGGTTTCCAAACCAGTTGAAGCAAAAACAAACAGATCAACTAATTTATGGTATCAATTTACCAAGCTTTCACTGGCTTTTCAAACTCATTTTACATTATTCCATCATCCATATAACTTTTGGAGACAATATACAGGAACACCAGATAATCAATTCTTAAGGTAATTCTGGGAGGATTGTACTCAATAGAATAAACAGAGGAATCACAAATGCAGCAAAGATGGCTTATCAAATGTTAAAGGTGCACTGAAATGGATTGTTATCTAAGAACCTTCTATCTGGCATATCTGGTTTACATTTGTAAACCACCCAGAATCACTTAGTTAAGATGGATAGTGTAAAAATTAGATAGAGAGGGAGAGGGAGAGAGGGAGAGGGAGAGGGAGAGGGAGAGAGAGAGAGAGATGAAATGTGTTTGAATATTAGTAGCTCAGGTTGGAAAGAAAGGAAAGAGAAAGAAAGAAAGAAAAGAAAAGAAAAGAAAAGAAAAGAAAGAAAGAAAGAAAGAAAGAAAGAAAGGTAATTTTAATTCAAAACAGAATCATATGACCTCTAAAATAATCTAACATGAGACAGTGACAATTCAGAGAGCTTTAAAAGGAAACAGACAAATCCAGGGACAGAAGCAGTGGTGGGTTGCTCCCGGTTCTGTCCGGTTCTATAGAACCAGATCATTGGTGATCTGCGTATGCGCAGAAGAGTGTGCAAGCGAGTGAAGCAAGCAAGCAAACGCAATCCCGCTGCAAACCGGTAATAAAAGTAAGTGGAACCAACCCCTTTTCAGAAGCTACAATTTAAATCTGTATTAGTCACAACCACTGTATTAGTCACAACCACTGTACATATAAACAAGTAAATTCTCCTTTGAGACAAATTTGGTTCCTGGTGATTTCATGGACACATCTATGTAGTTTTTTTGGCAACTGTACAATGTGTTTGATTCTGCCTTTTTCCAGGATACTTTTTCAACTTTCCATTGTAATCTACAACCTTGATATTTCCTGGTGATTTCCCTTCCAAGTACTATCTCTGTTTGGCATATTGAGATCAGTCAAAGTTGGCTAGGTCTTACTACATAATATAGTATTAACCCATAATAATGTGGTATTCATATATCACTGCTGAAAAGCACATGTGAGAGGATGGTACTCTGTTCATATCTTACATTTGAGCAACACTCTCCTGGGTTCATCTATAAAGGTGATTTCACATAATTTCTGAATTTTCTCCAAATACAGAGTAGCCTTCATTGGCTTGCTATCTTTCACACGTTGGGATTTCAGTTTAGTATTCCCAGAGATATAGCCATTGACTGGCTAGGAATGAACCCAATACATCTAAAGCAGGGGTGTCAAACCTGCGTCGTCACGGTGGCGTCATGTGACATAGTGGGACTTTTTTCCCCTTCGCTAAACCAGGCGTGGGCGTGGCCAGCATCTGGGCCACAAGTTTGACAGTCTTGATCTAGAGGATATCAGTTTGTTGACAGCTGATTTAAAGAAAGAGTTGGTTTAACTGATGATATATTGACAAGAATGTATTAACATTCTTCTCCTTTGGATTCATATTTTCCATTGAGGTAGTCTTATTAAGCAATGTTTCTCAACCTTGGTAAATTTGAGATATATAGACTTCAACTCTCAGAATTTTGGGAGCTGAAGTCCACACACATCTTAAAGTCCAGAGTATATGCTTTTAAAGGTAGGTGTAATGTGGCAATACACTAGTTTCACAGGCAACTATTTGCCTACTAAAAACCTTGGATTTTTTTTTTCTTCTTCTTCTTCTTCTTTTGCATTTCCTGCCTAAAGGGGAAATAGAAGTCTATACACTGGGATACCATTAAAAAAAAGCTGTGTTTTTTTTTTTTGCAAGAAATAGGTGTATTTTGAACTACAGACAATCCAGTAACATGTCTGAGATAGGCCACCCCATTAGCATCTGCAGGGTCCAACAGCATCAAAATGGCAGGGCACGACCAGGCATTTGAAGCCTTGCCTTTTTTTAATGTGTACTCCAGACATTGTATGCTTATAAAAAAAGGGCAAGGCTTCTATCATGTCAATCACCCCTCCCCTTTTGATGCTATTGACATACTGTTTCCCCCCCACAGATATGCCTAGATAATCTTGATCCAATCATGACTGAACAATGAACAATGCTGTAAACAACCATGCAAGTTATGGAGAATCTTTGCATCCCAGCCACTTAAGGTCTATATTGAAACTACCCTACGCCTATCAAAGCAAAATGCCATCATATAGATTGTTGCCTGGGACAAATTCCTGCTTTTCATATATGCTCAACAACTTAATGGTGGCACTGTTTTACATCAGCATCTCATTTTCTGCAAGGAATATTACCTTTTCCCAACCAGAATTTAGGATAGAAATATCCTGGCACTTTTGAATATTTTTCTTATACTACTCTTTTATTTATATTACACATGGCACTTTCATATCATATATATGACAAACTTTTCTTATTTATCCAGAATAATACCAGCAGTCTAGGTTATCAGGCACAGCTTGTTTTGATTATCTACCAGAAAGGCCAAGATTACACCTGAGACTTCAGCATACAAGCATGTGCTCCAACACCAATTTATGTTTGATTACAAATATAATGGTTTGCTTTTGGGTACAGTGACACAGAGTGGAAAGCTGCAAGGAAACATTCACACTAAATATATAAAAGCATATTCTCAGGCACAATTTCTATCATGTGCCATTATTATTAAAAGTACAACATAATGCAAAAATCAAAGGCAGCCAATATACAGAAAATTGCAGGTTTAAACTTGAATGAAAAAAACCAGAACCCAAATAGAACTGTACTGCCCCCTCTTCCTCTTTTCAGCCCATATTCATATATATGTCCATTACAACATGCTCAATCCAAGATAACAACATGGCATGACAAACATTTCTTTGCAGTCATCTTACATGCTCCAAAGATCATTAACAAGGATTTTTAAGCAGAATAGTTTTCACAATTTCGATAGATGTCACACATACACATTTAAACACATACATATACTTTCACTGTACCCTTTACATGTGATCCAAACTTAAAGCAGGTATCCATGCTTGTTCCACTGACTATAATAAGTCTCCTTAACAGCAAACCCATCATCTCAGAATCAACAAACATAAAAGTCCTCATTCAACAAGCACTTTCCTTCTAGTTAGTGAGGTTGGAAATACAGTGGGAAGCCGGTAGAATGAACTCAGTTCCCTCTTGAATGGCAAAACTGAAAGACTATACACATTTCACATGAATATTCATGAGTTCTTCAACTTTTGTCTGTATCGAGGCTGACATTACAGCTGTTTTCAGCGGCCACAAATTCCTCCAAGAGTTTCTCGCTCCCTCCCCTCCCCAGTTCTTCCTCTGGGTTGAAAGAAAGCGGGAGGGGGAGTCTGCTTTTGCTGCTTATTCAGAGCAATTTATCTTTTTTCTCTTACCCCTTGGCTCTTCCATCCCCTTTGCTCACGCCTGCTATTCTTCCTTCTCCCGCTTCTTTGATCAGCTTCTGCTGCCTCTGAGAGGGGCACATGCAGCAGGGTTATTTAACGGTCCAAGGCCGTGGGAGGGGTTATTTGATGACTCAGAAGGAGAACAGGTCAGATTGTCTGCACCACCAGTGGAAGTCTGCATCTCTTGCAGTGCAATTCTTATAAGTTTCATCTTGGGTATTTGATGGCCCTTTATTCAGGTATATGCATTACCTTTTTATCCTTCCAACTTTCAGAAGTCAGATGTGTATATCTTATTGTACGGTCATATTTCAGAGGGAACTAGTGCCATTGTTATGTACACAATTACTTACATTCTTTTGAAGTTGCCTGACATACAAGTTATTGGATCCAAATAGAAGAACTATTTACAGTAGAACATTTCTGTGCCCCTCGTTCCTGCTACCTTTGGTGATTATAAATGCTAGACAAAAGCTGTCCTTTCCTGCAGCCCCATGGTTTTGGGATTAGACTTTCCCTCCATAGATATGTGGTTTTGTTTCCATTTTATTAAATTGGTACATTATTATAGCTTGAATACACCCTTGATTAAAAATAAATGAAATTATATCTATCTATCTATCTATCTATCTATCTATCTATCTATCTATCTATCTATCTATCTATCTCCCCTCCAGAGGCAGCTTCTTCCTAAGAAGCTGACCAGAACTACATCCTTAGCACATTTATTTTATATACACAATGTACTTTTATTTAAAGAAATATCTTCTCTTTCCTCTGTATGAGAAGCTTAGCAGAAGAATAATACAGGGCTATGGAATCTGTGGGTGTAAGTATGGAATTAGCTTTGCATAATCAACTTTCTATTTTTTAAATAATAACAGTATCATTATTTGGATAGAGGTTTTGGCAGGCATCAAATGTGATGTCTGCAGACAAATTGATCTTCTTGGTCATCATACTGCAAACCTCTGATATACATATTTTTAGATAAACTGAGACTTGATATTCAATTTCTTACTCTCTGTCCTGGTTTTATTTCTGTAAGTAGAATAATTTATTCAGAGTTCTGAATGGCTGAATATCCCCATCTTTGGTGTACAGTCTCTGTTTATCTTTTAAAATTATTTCTTAACCAAGTTATTTTAGAAATATACAGCACCAATAAGCCAGGGATTCCTCCTGAAAAGAGCATTATGTGAACCATATGTACAGTGACAACCTCCTCTTCCAAATAAATGCTGATAGAATAGAGTGGGGATATGTTGAATCAGCTTTGCTTGCTTTTTCCTCTAAGTTGTCAACTGGTCAATTGGTTGACACTCCAAACTGAAGTAGTTGCAGCCATCCATGCAAAATTAACACAAATGGTACAATATCTGCATGAGCTGATATAGCTTAGGACAATATTGGTTGTATCTAGAACTCCATATCTGGAGCTATGTAATAACAGGAGAATTTAAACATGGATCCATGGATCCTGGCTGAACAGAATTGTAATGGATAGTAAGTACCTCATTGCTTCTTGGTAATGAAGAGCCAGGGGTCAACCAATCAACTACGTATATATGTTGTCTAATGGAAAATGACATCATAGTCAGATTTCCTGCACAGGCAAAATAAGAATCAACCCTGGATACAGTACCAATAAAGGAGAATATTTGTAGCTCAGGGTTGAAATGAGGGTTCCTTGATGCTCTCTGAGCTTGGTTGTTTTCTTGCAGGTGTTTCATTACCCAAACTAAGCAACATCAATAGTGCTTTTGGGCAGAGTGTTAAAGAACTGGAAGAAAGAGGCCTTCCAGGATCACAGTAACAAAAGTAATAGGAGATATCAATGATCCTCTGCACACATCAACAAGACTCACTTTGACTTCATGGAATGATTTAAGCTGCAATAAGATGAAAAACATCACTTAAATAGGGGACCACTTAAGTCTGTCTTTGGATTGCTTTACCTTTAGTGAATCTTGAGATACAAGCAGGGACATATAGACATGTGCTCAGGGAAGACCTGCTAGGGCATCCTCAAACCAAAATAAAGATATTTCAGTAACCAACTAACAGTGAATCTTCAGCATAACTAAATACAGCCTTTACTGTGAATGTCATAGCAACACAGAATATTAACTACAAATTCGGGAATCCAACTATTATGTCTATGTCAATTCCCAGGGTTTAAATCCTAGGATGACTAATTTTTTGTTGCAATGGACTTTTGCTTTTTCCCCAAATTGGAATTGGGAGGGCACCTTCATTACTTAATGGTCTTGACCACTTTGAGGCTCTTTGCTTACTGCCTTACCAGCTTCAGCCATCACATCAAGATACTTTCCACTCAGAAAACTGTAATATTTTTTCCTAATCATGTATTTATTGCCAACTGGGGAACACAATTATGTTTAGAACATTTTCATTTCATACTTTAATATAGAAGTATGATATTAAATGATATTTTTATAAATAACATAAATATGAAGTATTTATAGTTGTCAGCCATGTGGTGGGGACATTTTCTCCATAAGATTCATTACACAAGTTGCTCATTTATCTCATGCTATTTTATAGAGGTGTATGTGTTACCCATTATAATTGTCATGTTCAGACTTTTCATGCACTTGACCTTATTGTACCTCCCCAGCTTTTGTTAGGATTAGGGTGGGTTATAAACACTGTAAAATAAACAAAACATAGCTTATAAGTGCGATGTCCCATCTAGCATGATTTTTATCTCCAAACAGAAAAGACTAATATAATTATCTTCCACCCATTAGCACAAAGATCACATGTGCTTTTTAAAATGTACAGTATTTGTTGAAATGACACTTGGCAAGAATATTACACCATAATTAAAGCATGGCTGACATTTTATCCTGCTTGAAAGATCAACTGGGTACATCCCTCCCACTGTGTAGGGTCTCCTGCTTGAGCTGGGGGTTGGACTAGATGACCTATAAGATCCCTTCCAACTCTGTCAATCTGTTAATCTGATACTGATGTATATTCCTTTCTTAGCTCAAAGCGAACTTACAAGTTTCCAGGAATTCCAGCCAGCATGATAAGAGGTGCTTGTACTTGTAGTTCAGCAAGATCTGTAAGATTACAAATTGCCAGTTACTGTTCTAAAAAGTAGATTTTGCTATAGAATTGCAAAACTTTTATTTAGCTATATTGAGGTAATTGAAAAACCAACTATGTTTGGATTACTAAATATGTCACCTCTTGGAATCCACTTGAGACACTTCAGCATTTGAGAGTAGATCTCCAACAGAAGTATTCCTGAATATACAGCACGTTTATTATAATTACCGAATGGTAGTGCTGAGCATGATGGCGATGGTAAATTTATTTCTGTTAATATGGTAATATCTGAGTGTTTCCTTTTACGTCAGTCTGTTCTCATTTATGATAATTTGCTACATGTTCCACTTTTATATTTTTAAACTTCCTAGAGGTGGTAAGACTTGTGTTTTCCGTTATGAATACTATTGTGCAACAGACTTAAGATGTTAGCCTAGCATACTACTGCCATGAATCAAATTTTTTTCAGTGGTGAGGAATCATGAGAAAACTCTATTTTGCAGTTCTTCAAAGAGCTGTGAGGAAACAAAAATGTGCAGCTCTTTACCACAGGATTCCAGAAACTTAGTCCAATAATTTTTCTGTTAACTTTCTTAGATAATACTCTCTATCTGTTTATAGGATAATGCACATTTTTCTTTTTAGACACATTTTAGCACTTTGCCAATTACAGGTAGAATCAGAGCAAATGAATCCTATCCTGTAACTCTTGAGAGAAATTACAGGAGAGAAGTTTTCTTGTATCAAGAAAAGCAATATGATTTAATTCATGATTTAAGCATTTTCCTTAACCAGAAATCCACTGAATCCTGAATAAATATGTGTTTTTTTTCTTCAAATATGCAGCATTCCCTGAGGGAGAGGGAACAATAATTTTCTAGATTATGAGTGTGTAGTTTTTAGTTCCTTTTTGTTTCTGTTTGGCTCTGTGGTGCTATCTCTTTCTATAAACAGTAGCTGCATTAGAGTGGTTTCAATTTGCAGGGGAAGTTACCATATGTTCTTCCTTGAAGCAAAGCTTTGGGGAAGTTGCCAAACTTAAAGAAAAAAAGTATACTTTAAATAAAAAATACAGAACTTATCTTGTGTCCATAGAGCAGATCACAAGAATATCACATTTTCTTATATATTTTACTCTAAGCAGCATTTGAAAATACTCATTATAGGACTGGGGGTAGAACAGCACCGTCTTCCTGGAATTCCATACAGCTTGGTTATTTATTTATTTAAGTAAAACTTCATTTATTTGAGAAAATACCCATACGGGAGAAACATAAAGGTAGATAGCTTAAGATGAGGAAGCATCTTTGGGATGTAGTTTGTACTCCTTGGAAATCCATAAAACTTCTATTAGAATATTTATTTATAAGCATGGCTTCTGCTATCCTCTCACTCTCTCTTTTTCTCCTCTTTCTCTCACTGCATATGAAGACAAATTATGAGAAATCCAGTGATGTTATTTCAAAGGAAACTAGTCCAGAGAAAATGTTGAACATGGAAATGCCCACTGTTTTTATGAATGTGTTTATGTTACAGAGCATAAAAGAGCTTTATACATTGTAATTATGTAAAATATATCTCAGATGAATCAATGGTATCTATATGATTCAAATGTGAATCTAAACTTGTAAATTCATGATATCCATAATGAAACCCTGAACAGTTCTCCCCAATTGATATGAATAATTTATGAAGGAAGTACATTTCTACCCTTGTTTAGGATACACAGTTTGCTGGACTATGTGAGAAAATCCATAAAATTCTAGGAGACAACATTGTTAAATATTATTTCAATATCAGATCACAATTAAAATCTCCTAGCATTGCAAATTAATTATCCAGGGACCAGACTAAAAATATAAAAATAGCTTTTATAATTAAAAGCCTAGTGTAGATAGCATTTTCCAACAAATTAAATAAAATTGATTGTACTACAACTTTACATATTATTTTATAAAATACTAGTTCCTCTTCAGGATGAAAGGGCCAAAACTGTAGACTATTAATCTCCTAATAGTCTAAAATTTGAAAATGAAAAATGAACCGTTTAAATAATTCATATAGTACAGGCTTTCCAAATTTCATGCTCAAACTATATTAGATTTTAAAGGACACGAACAACTCCTGAAATTGCTCCAGAAATAGATAATTACATAGCTGATAATCTACTGGTGTTACATAATCTAATTAGTATACTAAGATCCCAGTGAATATTCCTGCTATTGCATAAAATGAAGTTTCCATACCATTTTCAAGTGCAAGCCCGTGAAGCATTTTACAGTAATCCAGCTTTGTTGCAATTAAAACATGTATTATTAAATCTCAAAATTCTCTAAAAATTGCTGCAACCTAAATAGATGAAAACACTAGCCATTCTAACCTAAGAGTGTTAAAAGAATTTCAGCATTTAGTGAGGCTCCTTCCTCCACAAAATTCTTTCATAAAATGAGTGATTTTTTTACATAGTTAGGACAACAATTAAATTTCAAGGCAGAAACTGCCTTACTTGGGACATACTACCACAGCTGACTTTGTGCAAAATATATTCACTTTCTATTGAAACCAAAATTTGAAAAGTTCTCTTCAAATTTTGAAAAAAATCTGATCACAATCCATTTTTTTAATTCTATACCAGTCCAAAATGGAATTATTAAACTTTACATACAATTTATAAAGGATACCTTAAAATATAAATATAAAAGAATTGTGATAAGATCACAATACAATTTATCTCTGGATAAAGAACGAAACCCGGAAACAGGAAAGAAAAACTTAGTAAATTGTCCTTCAGGTTTCTTTCCCTGGAGTAGCATAACTTAAAAGATGTTGTTTCCTGTTCCAGCTAGAGCACAAAAGGCTGACCATGACAAAATTCCATAAGCAAAGTTGGCATCACGTAACAACTGCTGCCTCGGCGTCTTCAGTAGAATGTATGTAATTTTGGTAAAACGGGGGAAGAGGGGGGCACAAAGGCCATATTTTCTCTTTAAGTACAATAGTATGCTAAGGCTACATTCTAAAATTTATGTGGGGCCATGACAAAGAAGTGGAACTGAGACCAGTACTAAATTCAGTGGCTTTAATTTCATTCACACTGAATTAATATTATATGAAAATAATTGTAATTAATAGGAACATTCCCCACAAATTTGCTATTTCTGTCACAAAAATGTGTCATTTGGATTTTTTAAACTTTGTATGTATTCTTTAAATCTGTAGTAAAATAAATTTTAAAAACCCTTTCTAATCATTTATATCACCTCCTTGCAGACAGAGGACAGTGATACCTCAACTATCTCCTTTGTGATACTAATTTCTATGTTCAGAATTACAGAGGAAATAAAATGTCCATGCTTTATTATTTTGCATTTGCTTACAGAAACATTTTGTTGTTTGATAGATATGTATGTACAGTATATAAATACATACACACACACCTTAAACAATACAAGATATCCCCTTGTGGTCACCCCCACCCACCTTACATGGGACCTCATGGTGCATTTTCCTGCTCTGTTTCCGAGTACTGTATTTATACTTCATTGGCTCAAGTTCTGCTTTCTGGTTTGTCTACTGTACTTTTCTTTCTTCTAGGTAAGCCCCTGCCATTCAACAGGCTATTTGCTGCTGCACCATATTTTCTCTACTTGTTCTGAAAAATACATGCTATATATTCTATTATGGCAGGTCTTCCTTATTAGCATAAAAGATCTAATACTTGCCTTACCTACAGAACATCCTTGGTTTGAATCTCAGGCTTGTTAGATTTGTTAGTTTGTTTGGCCACTTCTAGTTACTTTCCCCTTCTTTCTTTTCTGCTGGGCAGTTACTCGTTGTTTTAAAAAAACGAATAAGTACACAGGTATACCATTTCATTAGCTTTCTAGTACCATATTTTGTTCTTCTGAAGGTTGGGGCCAATGTATATTGATGGAACTATGTGAATGAGCCAAAATACAAGAATTTGGGTTAACATTGCTTAATTTGTACAGAAGGATTTAGTTCTATAAAACAAGGAACAGATACTAACAAATAAGAATCAGAGAAGGAACTCCCTATATACAAGAAGTTTGGGATCAAAGCATATGTGTGCTTCTCTCTTTCCTTGGGTATGAGACTATTGAATTCAAAGAGGATAGTTTCTGTATGATTAGGCATGACTTGTATAGCTTTGCTTCAATCAAGGACTGGCATGATTTTTTTCATCCAGAAGAATTAATATGTTCAAGATTTGAATTTTTATGGTCAATTTTTATTGCTGAGCATTCCTGAGAAAACATAGCTGCTCTGAATATAACATTTATCATACACTTCCCCAAGATAGCCCGATTCTAGTTTCTTGTAGCACTATTTTTAAATGTGTAGCAGGAGCTCTTAAAATGGAGAAGTAAACTCATGTGACTCTTGAATGTTGTAACTTCATATTTCTTAATTGTTTCAGTAGCTTTCATGCTATGTTCTTTCATGCTTTTCAGAGGTTTGAACAGGAGCGAGTGGGTTGGATGAAAACATTTCTTTATTAAATGAATTTCAAGAATGAAAAGCATTATTCTTGAATTATTGTATTTTTCCTGACATGTCCTCCCTACACTTTCCAAAGGTTATTTCCAGATTTACTTGTTCTTTTTATCTAGAGACTCAAACATGTAGCAAAAATACATATAGAATTCAGTTTCTAAAAAAAACCTCAACTCATTCACGTGCCCCAGCACACCTCCTAATTCAAAACCTAGGTAACTATTGGTAGGTTAGATTTGAATATCAGAAAAATAAAAGCAAGATGCCAACATGAAATAGTTGTTATAGGTGATGGCTCCCAAGATCTACTTATTTAAACTTTCAGGCAAAACTTGACTAATGCATCAAAGTTTGGCCCATGAAACTTCAGCACTTTTCTCACGTATCCTGGATTTTTTTCCAATACATTGCCATTGCCTTATCCAGTTCCCATGGAAACTATGTTATTTTGGAAACCATCCTTTGTTATTCAAACTCTTCATTCTATATTTTCCCATATACTGTATAATTTAAAACTTGTTTGCCTTTTTGTACTGCTTTTTTTACTACTTATGAGTCTCATAAGCTCCTTCTTTGATATAGCCTGGCCTTTATTCCTCTAAGAAATGTAACTGCCTAGTTACATTTTGTAAATTTATATTTACCTAATATCCATCCCTCCAAACCCAAATATTATTTTTCTTCTTCCCCTGCCTGTAGCCAATTTTATGCATATTCAGTCAAAAGTCAATTCACTACTTTAGGGAGACTTACATCAACAGAAATATAACGTCAAGATTATGAGAATGTATAGTTCTACTCTATGCTGCATTGGTCACTTTGCATCCAGGATACTGTGTCTAGTTTTGGTTGCCACAATACAAGAAGGATGTTGAGGAACTGGAAAGAGTGTATAGAAGAACAACAAAGATACTAATGGGCCTGAAGACTAAATTCTATGTAGAATACTTAAAGGAACTGATATATTTAGCTTAAAGAAAACTAAAAGAAAATATGATAGCAGTTTTCCCATACTTGAAAGCTTATCACAGGGAAGAGAGTATAGATTTATTTTTCATAGTCCCTGAAGGAAGAAGAAGAACCAATGGGTAGAGTTTTACTGTGAGATATCCAAACTTTATAAAGAGGAATTTCCTGACTTGTGAGCTATTAAGTAGTGGGACAGGTTGCGTCTAGAAGCTGTGGTTGCTCCAGCATTGGTGGTTTTAAATAAAAGTTGGAATCAGTTGTCGTGATTCTTGCTCTGGGCAGCAGGGTGGATTACAAAATCACGAAAGTCCCATTCAACTCTATATTTCTGTGGCCTGTGTCTAGAAGATAGAAAATGCTTCCATTTGAGACTATTGTTCTTATGTTATTCACAAAATTTTGTGAGATACCTATGTCCTCCATTTGTAACATCCACTTGTTTTCTTTTCACTTCTTTATATTTTAGACAAAGAATGCTTTGAGATGGATAACTTTTAATGTGCATAATCATGGCAGCTCTCCCATTCTTTTACCTTTAACACATTTTCTCTATAAAAATGTAAGAAATTAAAAGTTATAAATTGTGCCAAAAAGCTCGGAATGAAGTACAATGATCTTCATTTAAGGAGAGATGGAGAATTGTATAACAGCTCTGATTGCTAGTGATATAAAATCCTTTTAATACCTTAATTAAGCATCACTTAATTATCATAAAATTGGATAGGAACCAACAAATATTAAAATCAATCACACTATATACCAATCTATAGCACATAGCACAATAATATTCCATTGTTTACCATAACTATTTTCTGGCATACAAACATTTCTGAAATGAAGTAATAGTTTAGAATCATCCCCTCTTTTGTAGAAACAAATTCTATGGTACAGAGAAGACTATTTTTGTGCACCTGATCAACATTTGCCTGGGTTTAGTTTTATTAGATGTCTGGCAAAAGGATAGTAAGTCCTCTTTTTTATTTATTTATTTGTTTGTTTGTTTGTTTGTTTGTTTGTTTGTTTTAATTTGCATACCGCCCTTCTCCAGCAGGACTCAGGGTGGTGAACAGCCAGAATAAAACAGAACATACAAAATTTAAAAACAGTTTAAAAATAATTAAATATTTTGGCCACAATTTAAACAACCCAATTAAAATCAATTAAATTTAACCAAAAACAGTGGGATCAAGCCAGCCCGGCTAGGTGAAATAAATAAATTTTCAGGGCTCCTCATGTCCTCTGCCCAGGAGGCACAGCCTTAAAATCAAATATATCCCAGCTTTCTGAATATTTTTTTTTTAAATAAATAAATAAATAAATATTTTGAGTTGTTTTTACAACAGTAACGATTCAAAATTTCATATATTGTGATCTTGAAAATTGCCTGCTTCTTTCTTTTCCTCATCCATCAACAGACTTGACAAACTAGATTTATGTTAATGATCTTTTTCCTAATTCTAGCAATTGGCTTCAATCCAGCCACTTCAAATCTATGATCTCTGTAGAGTCTGTAGATTGCATGTTTCTATGATAAAATTTGAAAAGCATGTCATCATCAATTCAACGTTATTGCTAACATATGTATCCTTGAAAATAAAATTTTGTTGGAAAAATATTGCCATCGAAAAATCAGTCTTTCTGATGCTGGAAAAAGTAATTTCACATACCTGTAGGCCTAAGTACATTTTTTGCAGTATTTGCTGTAATTTTTGTTGCAGCTGCCAAGAAAGTTAAAACAGTTTGTGTGTCCTCCTTTTCTCTCCAGCTGTCCTTCTTTCGAATTGTCCGTCCTCCTTTCTCCATTCAGATATCTGGTAAATGTAGCTGGTCTTGAAAGTTAAGCAGGTCTGCCTGGTACTTGAATTTCCACTCAAGAGCAGCAGGAAACACAAGGCTGTAGGATAGACTGGGGAGTCAAAGAAACATTCTGGAAGGCAGTGAAAAATCAGTGCCATACTATTACCTGAAAATTTCTTGACTGTATCCCAGTATCTTCAGAGTCAAGCACAGTTGGAGGGATAATAAAGCATAATAAATGCTACAAACATAGTTCTCAGATGAAGTGAGCTCATTACAGCTTATGCCTTTTAATAAAATTGGCTGTTCAGAAAATGTACAACCAGTCTAATTTCAATTCCCTCGCCTTATGGGTGAGAAGCATTTGTAAATATTTTGTGTTTCTCTTCCAATATTCATACAGCTTACATCACGGGCTGGTTAAAGTTGACAGAATATTTCTATGACAGCAGTGTAAAATAGTGCTCTATAAAAACTGCTGGTCAGAGATGGGGCAGAGATCAGTTTGTATTTCAGATAGTATAAATCATAACCTAAAAATAACAATTGCAATAACTAAACTGAAATAATTAAAGTTATTGATTGGGCTTAGATTTAAAGCTATTAATTCTCTCATTACTGCATGCAGGTATGTTGCATTTCAGAATTTTCAATTATCCTGTAAGCAAAAAAACCCCCAAAACCCGTATTGGAAAGAGAGGCAATCAAATGAGAAGCTCTTTTAAGGATAGATAAAAGATGATAAAATAGGTAAAAAGGATTTTAAAAGGCTCGTTTCAGGCTTTACTGCTCAAAATACAAACCGAACTCCATCCCATCTTTGACCTGCCGTTTCTTTACAGGACTGTATTACGACAGTGTCTTTGTTACAATTGTGTTTTTTTTCAGGATACCTGTTACGCTATCCAATCACAACTTCCATAAAACCTGCGCAGCGTCAAAAACACAAGGATCTTTTTCCATCTCTATCATCGACTCTATAATTTTTCTAGTTCTATAGGTTTTATGAAAGCACGTTAAAGGTGACGTTATGTCGCCTTCTGGGCTAACGTCATATCTTTGCGACTCAGTCTCTAAGCAACGCAGAAATGCCTTTGTTATGGCAGCGTGGCGGCTCCTGTTTCCATTGCTGCTCTTGCTGTCGGAGTTGTGGTCGAAGACCGAGACTGACAACGTCACTCTAAAAGCGGAAAACTCCACGGATGAAACGTCCCCCACTGGGACGGCCCCCAGCGAAACGTCCCTCCCCGGGACCTCCCCAAGCGGGACCTCCCCAAGCAGAACTCCAGGCATGCAGACAGAAGAAAGTGCTGGTGAGTTGGGAGGAAGTCTGGGCTATGTCCCAAAGGCATGTGCCTCTCTTTCCTTTGAAACGAATTATCCCCCTTATCGATTTTTTTTGTTTTGATATTTTTGCATTGTTTTTAAAATCTTTGCTCATGCTGCTTCTGTCTCCCACCAATGTTTTCTCAGGCTGCCCCTGTGACCTGCATCCAGGCTTCTGCGACATCAATTGCTGTTGTGATTCACACTGTGGTTCAGAATGCAACCTTGGTGCCCCTGGGTGTCCCTTCTCTTTCTGCCTTCCAGGCAGTACCAGGTGAATGTGGAGATTTTATTTAGGTTTCTAGACATCCTACCAAGACTGGAAGCTTCAACTGGTCTAGAAGGCAATGGCATGGACAGTGATGGGGCATGCCTCAGTATATCCGTGGGGCACCTCTGCTTTGTGAGCTGCACCGGTGCTTCTGGGTGCAATTCAAGGTGCTGGTCATCACCTATAAAGCTGTACATGGCATAGGACCAGGTTATTTGAGATACCTCCTGTCTCCCATGGCCAAAATGTGCCAGCAGAGTTAGCATCCTCCGGATTCCTTTGATTAAACAGTACTATCCTTTGGGACCCAAGAAGTGTGCCTTTTTTATGTGGCAGCTTCTGCCTCCTGGAATGAAATCCCCCTGAAATCCATGTGACTTCCATTCTGTTGGCATTCTGTAAAGTTTTAAGGACTGGCTGTTTTTCCAGGCCTAGGGTTAATATGAATGGAGGATTTGATTAGGTGTGTTGTACAGAATGACTGGATGCCATTTTGTTCTGTAGTGGTCTATTGTGTATTTAATTGCCAGCTGCTCAGAATTGGGCAGTACTTGAAATAAATAATTGAATCTAGAAAATATATTGGAATCGTAAAAAAAGCACAATTTTGGAATGGAGGTGCAGCTTTTTAATTGCTTTTAATGTTAAGTTTTATTGTGTACCAAAAGCCAAGTAACTTGAATTTAGCTCTATGTTTTGAAAGCCATTGTTTGATATATATTGTTAATCTGAGTTTGTGTAAACAATGTTCTTTAAGATAGATTTCTGTATTTGTATTGTTCCTTAGAGCTGTGAGTCGGGTGTGTTTGGAAAAGTCCCTGATTTTCCGAAATAACACTCCCTTCCATACTGAAATCCTTCCAAGTCCTGATGGATGTATATTACTCTTCTGTGTACAGTTAAATGATTGTAAGTTTGGCTTTTTGTCTACAACAAATTATACTCTTTGATTGCAGCTATTCTCTGAATCTAATTTTAGGAATAGAAATACAAACCATAATGCTTATTTTCTGAAGATTAAAGGATAATATAATGGATTTTGTTTATATAGTTTCATTTTCAAACCTTATGAAACAGGTGCATTTTTCATTTGTCATTATGGTATCAATTTTTCTAAACACTTTCCTTTTCTCTCTATTTTTCTGATAGTAAAATGATGTCTAACTCTTAGAATTCTATCTTCTGTCATAAAAATAAATCCACAGTATTAGAAGAACATCTTAATTTAACTATGAATAGTGTTGTATTATACTATAGGTAATCCTCAACTTACAACCAGAATTAAGCCCAAAATTTATATCGCTAAGAGAAAAATTTGTTATGTGAGTTTTGCCCCATTTTACAACTTTTCTTGCCACATTTGTAAGTGAATCTGGTTTCCCATTGACTTTGCATGTCAGAAGATTACAAAAGGTGATCACATGACCCCAGGACATTGCAATTGTCATAAATATGAGTCACTTGTCAAGCATCCGAATGTAAATCACGTGACCATGGGGATTCTTCAGTGGTCATAAGTGTGAAAAATAGTCATAAGTCATTTTTTCAGTGCTGTTGTAACTTCGAATGGTCATTAAGTCAGTCAAGGACTACCTTTATAAGTAGTATATAGTATAATACACTTGCTTTTCTCTGGAATAGTTTTTCCAATATCTATTTCATTAATAACTCACCTAGGAAAATTTGTACATCAAATTAATGTTGATGTATCAATAAATAAAGCCAATTTGTCTGTTACAAGACTCTAATTTTGTTACTGTGTAGATTTGTATTTCTGTTAAAGGGCAAGTGATCTTTGATTTGAAAAATACAACCTCTTTATACCTTATTCGCCAAATATATTCCATTATTCCATTTTTGCACAGATGCACAAATGCTTCTAGTCTAAACCAGTGAGATGGACAACTAAGGTGACAGAAAAGATATATACCTCTGACAAAAATATGAAAGAACTTTCAAAAAGTATTAGGTTTTATAGCCCAGATTAAAAAAAAGATATAGAGAGGGAATAACATTTATTACATTTGCAATATGGGATGCCCTTTTAACACTGTGATATTACTGTTGTGCTTCCCCTACCCATATTTTATTTTTAGCCACGTTGAACTATTTACAAGTGCCACAGATGGTGACAAAAGTAAATTTCCCAGTACTTTTAGCACAATATGGAAGGCCATCATTCATCCGTCCAGAACAAGTTTGGTCTTCTTCATCTGCCTTTTATCAAGTGAGTTGGTTCTTCGATATTTTTTCCCCAAGATATTTTTAGTAGTGAGAAAATGTAAAGCAGACCAGATTTAGATTTTTGTAATTTTAGCCTTATCTCAACAAGGTAAGACTTGCCTACCCTGTTTTCCCCAAAATAAGACATCCCCTGATAATAAGCCCAACAAGGCTTTTGAGCGCATGGCAATAAGGCCAAGTGCTTATTTCAGGGTTCAAAAAAATATAAGACAGGGTCTTATTTTCGGGGAAACACAGTAGTAGCTTGCAGTGTAAGATTATTTAATAATCATGTGAAATAGATGTTGGCTTAAAAAAAATCAAGTTAATGCTTAAGTTCTTTTTCTTTTTCTTTCTGTTCTAGGAATTAGTCTTTTTTACCTATTCTTTTTCCATTTCAGGTAGGGGATCCAATTCAGATTTATTATGCTGCCTCATCTACACTAAGTGTGCTTAAGCAACCTGTGGGCATTGGAACTAGTCAGATTTGCACTGATGAGAATCCTGCTGGTGAGCATTGAGTGTTTAGTTCTAACACCAAGTCACAATGTTTATTGAATTTGGTAACTGATTACAGGTAGCTCTTGATAAATAACTATTCATTTAGCTATTGTTCAAAGTTACAGCAACACTGAACAAGATTTAACAACTGGTTCTCTTAGCATCCAGCTTGCAATTATTACAATTGCAGCAGTCTGCTGTCATGTGATTACCATTTGTGACCTTCATTGCCAGCTTCTGACAAGCACAATCAGAGGGGAAACCAGCAGGAGGCAATCATATGACATCATGCTTAACAACTGCAGCTATCTGCTTAATGATAGCACACCAAAACTGCCACATCTGCCAGTGTGAGTTGGCATGGTCATATGACATGGTACTTTATGATACTGTCACTTAGTAACAGTGTTGCCAGTCTCAATTACTGTCATTAAACATTGTTAAGTGAGGACTAACTATTTTTTCAAGAAGCCACCATATGCTGTAGTGTTTTTAACGTTGCATAATTGATATCAAAAATAAGACAGAGAGAGAGAGAGAGAGAGAACATATAGTATATACATATTAAAAATATTAACTGCATTTTTGAACTCTTATGTCAACATTTCCTGTTTGTCTGTCTTTCTTTACCTCTTACAGTATGTTCATTTCTTAGGTTTCCTGGAAAGTAAAACTACCAGCTGTATTAGGATCTTTACTGACCTGATGAGCAGTTGTACCTCTGACCCTGCATTGGATGCAGCTTCATATTATCGCAACTTCAGTGTATTGCAGGTGTAAAATTTGACCTACCATGAAGCCTATTAATTTGCTATTTTGTTTATTATGGTTTGTTGCACAGTCAGCCAGATGTTTACACTGGATTTAGCAGTTTTGCTAGCCTCTTGACTTCTTCCCAAAGACCTGGGATAGGCAAATGTGGATGTCATTGCAGGATGTAGGTTGCTCCAAGTAAAACTGCCTTTTGCTTGTAATTGATTGGTGAATTTGTCAATGCCAAGGATGTCCAAATGGTTATCATTGTTATTGTTTTATTTATTCATTTAAGATTATTGGCTGCACAACTTCAGTGAACTCTTATGCATATTTATTAGTAAAAGTAAGCCTGTATAATTTTTAAGTGTCAAAGAAAGAGGAGGAGGAGGTAAATTTAGTCACTACTTTCTTTTGTAGAAAATTAGAAATTTGGGGAAATATATTATCTATTGGCCTGTTACTGACAGGAGTTCAAGTCCTATAGAAATGTATTGTATATGATATTATTGTAAAAGACAATTATATCAACTAATATGAAATGCTAGCATTCTAGAAAAAGAGATAATACAATTAGTTGCAACAAATGTTTGTATTATCAACAGCACCTGTGAAGTTCTGTGATAACTAAGGGAAGAGTCCTGATTTAGACATAGGACTTTTTAAAAGATAATTATTTCCTTTGTTAAAATCAGGTGCATCTAGGGAGATATCTGTTAAGGCAGGTGATCTATGGAAACATTATGGGCAGACTCCCTGAAGTAGGTTTATGGTTAAAACTTTGGAAGTTGTTTTATATTTTATTTATGTGATCAGACCAGGGAAAAGATACTTAAATACAAATAAAATAGAAAATGGAGACATACATAGGCCTAAAATCAAGAATGTCACATCAGTCTAAGCCCTTTCTCCACAGTTGTGTTTTTAGTGGGTACAATTATATATAAATAGGAGACATAAAACTTAGATACTAGTATGTAGGATCAAAATTTACTTATAGTTATTTTAACGATAAAAACTCTATTTCACTTTCTTGCAGTTGTTAGATTTTAATAAACTAAATGTTATTATCCTCAAAATAAATTTCATCTTGTTACTTCCTAAACATGGATATTAATAATTCTATGCACTGAAGCAAGTAGAAGTCCAACAGCTCCTGTAGTGAAACTTCTGATTAGAATTAATGGTTTGTGCATGACTTATTTACAGAATAACCTGATCCTCAAAGATCACTTGTGGCAAGTTCCGGGAACCAGAATATTGTTAGATCTATTCCCTTAAGAAAAATTTGGCTACAGATAGTCCCTGATTTACAATAATTTGTTTATTGATCCTTCAAAGTTATAACACCACTGACTTATGATCGTTTTTCACACTTATGACCTTTGCAGCATCCCCATGCTCACATGATCAGAATTTGAATGCTTGGCAATTGGCATGTATTTATGATGGTGGCAGTATCCCAGAGTCGTGTGATTGCCATTTGTGAGTTTCTGACAAAGGGGAAGCCAGATTCACTTAAGAATCATATGATTCAGTTAACAGCTGCAGTGATTCACTTAAAAACTGTCTTGCTTAGCAGGGGAAATTTTGGGCTCAATTGTGGTCATAAGTCAAGGACTACCTGTATTCCTAAGCAATCCTCCATTCCTACTGAGACAATGAGAGAAATTATGCAGAAAATTAGGCTGTAAAGAAGATTAAGACTTCACATTTATGAACTGTATGGATTTATGGCAAAATGAGGCATCCATGGTTTGGGTTTTGTTTTCTTTTTCAGGTCCCAGTCAATTTTAGCGATTTTCACCTCTTCGAGGTAAATTATATTAACTATTTCCATCTTTCCATTTCTAATTTAAGAAAATCCCATCTTGAAATAACATGGAATTATTTGGACTAATATGGACTGGGAAAGGAAGCGGGGTTCTATCTATATTTAAGAAATTAGATTTGGAATGATACTGGATTATGTTAGCCATGACTTGATGATTGGGATCAGAGGGTTCAGTAGTTCAGAAGGTAAGCAAACAAGGGAGTTCTTATGTAAAATTATTTGGAGTAATTTTAGAAATCTTAACATTTTAGAAATTTAGTAATTTTAGAAATTATAAAATTTTCTGATTTAAATAATTGTGATTGAATCATGTGAGGTGAATTTTTTAAAAAATTGAATATATGTTTTGTCATTGCCAGGTCCACATTATCCCACATTCGGAGCCTGCAGCTCCTGTGCTGAATGGTAATACATGCCACAATGTTGTTTCTGAGGTATTTAGCTACATCAGCAATTGCTTTTTTCTATAATAGAAAAGGGGCAAAATAAGCTAAAGCTTATTCATGAGCATATCTTGTTTTTTACTGATCTGTTTGATGTACTTCTAGGTGAATTATGAGATGGAGTTTAATGGGATCCACGGAATCCAAAAGGTTTACATTCAGTTCAAATTGACCAATATATCAGGGAATCCAGGAGTCACATTACAACAGCATTTTTCTCTGCATTTTGGGGTCAGTACTTATATCTTTAGATTGGGTCCAAAGTATACAACTAAACATTCTACTGTACTTAACCCAGTGGCAAGAGTTTCTGGATTAGTGTTTGTTGTGCATCTTGACAGCTTTGACTCTGTATAAATAAGATAAATGAGCCTTAGCACCAAGCAAGCTTGTAGACATGGTTCCATATCAGTTTCATGGCTTTACGCAATTGCAGAAAGATCTGCATTGTGGAAAAATTGTTGCAAGGATGGTGAAGAAGTATAGCTTCTTTTCTGTCCCACCAAAGTTTCAGACTTCTTAAATAAGATTTTTTTTAAAAAAATGACATTGGGCTATAGCACTATAATGCAGACTAATATTGGCAGCTAGAAAAGGATGCTATTTTGTAATAGAATAGCAGGCAGTTTTAAATATGTTTGCTGAAATTGAAGGGGGAAAGTATCCATTGTTTTGGAAACATTATTATCTGGCTGACTATTACCAGGAAAAAAATGGTAATCCACATGTTGCTCAACTACATGTGAGTTCTTGCAACAAACATTTCAATAGACCAGAACACTTCCTCACCAGTAATCAAATACCCAGATAAGCAGAAATTAAATCCAGGTAAACAAGCAGTAAAAAACAGCCTAATCAAGAAACTATGAAGAAGAAAAATATTCCCTACCAGCACTGACAGAGTGAGTTGCTGTAGATATACAGAGAGCAAACCCCACTCCCTTCTACCACCAAAGAGATTTACCTAGTCTGGGTGACAAAATAGCTGCAAGGAAACAAACAAGCTCAGAAAGCACTAAGAACTCAACAAGCACATGTCATTTAAAGGAATTTGTTTCCTATCTGTATGCTTTTCATATGTTTTCATTGTTGTACCGATTTATGATTTTGTTTCAAGTACTGTAATATATTTTAGTGTCTATATCTCTAGCCTAGATAGCTTTGAAATGACCCATTAAAATACCTTTTAATAATTCTATCATATTAAAGCACTTTGGGTTTTTTTTTTTAAGAAGAAAAGTTGGACAAATACTTTAAATACAGTGTATCAATTGAATAGCAGGTAAATATTAAAAAAGCCTGAAAAAATATTTGGTGGGTTTGAAACTCAGATATACCTAAAATATATGACTTCTAGAAATCCAAAAGTATGGACTGTCTTAAACATTTCTGTACAAATCCTTATTTTCTTCTCAATATTGATAACTTGGATAAACATAATTGATTATTTTTGCTTTTTCCCAATTCTCAGTCATTTCCATGTGGGTGTCTTTCATCCATGGATGTTCAATTGATATTATAAGATGTATTGTTTCATTCTTGGGTGATTAACCTCTCTGATAATTTCTGTGTTGCCTTGCAATCTACTTTTGTGTGGTATTTCAGTCTTTTACTTTAAAAAAAGTCTTCTTTACAAATAGGATCTTTACAGACACTGCTACAGGCAGTTTTCTTGCCACAGTAGGAGAGTAGTTTGGTATTGCATTTTTTCCAAGACATTTCTCAATTTTCCAGTTTCTGCTATTTTCCTGGTTCAGGATTCCATATTAGTGTCCTAAGCACTAAGAAGGTCAGTCGGACACTGCCACCTGCTGGGCGTTTTTAAAGAAGTACCAGATAACAGAAATGTAGGTGTGCATGGCCCTGACCCGAGAAAGGTTAGACCACTTTCTTTGGCATTCTAAATGTAACATTCTCTCCCTACCCCTTCCCTGCCATTTTTCTGTTTCTTACAGAGCAGAAGATCTTCTTTGACCAAACGAAGAAGTGGAAATCCTGGCTATATCACAGGAGCACCACTAAGAGCTTTATATAATGGGATCCAGCAACATGTATGCTTTCTTGCTCTATATTAAGTTATGTTTCTCAATTGATGTGTGGGTATAAGTTTTAGATGATTGTCCATTGGAAAGCTTTTATTATCCAATAACTTAATTCAGAGAAGTTTTCTATTCCTATAGTTCTTGAAATTAACACATAATTGTATGCAAATAACACCGCCTGGAACCAAGTTAAGAAACTATATTGCATTTTTACCCACAACCACTAGTAAGAGTATAGTATTAACTACTTGCTTGTCATTTCTTTATTATGTGAAACCAGCAGTTACCTGTAATAGATTTTTGATTCAGTAATTCCAATACTTTTTTTAGTTTTAGATAATAGCAATTCCATACTTTTTTCTTTTTCTTCCTATTCCTTTTCTTTCCGGGGTAGGGGTGGGGGGTTCTATGTCTTTGTTTTTTTATTCTTTGATATCTATTCCACAATTTTCAAAAACCTTTTAACTCATAACAAGAAATTGTCTCTCTCTATTATAAAGTCAAGAGAGAAGTAGGAAAGTAGGATGTGCCTATTCTTAATTTTATGAGAGTATACAAAATGTATATTTGATATAGCATATTTGTATAGATACAGTTTTCCAGAGGTGTATTCAAGTTATTCATTACAGGAAGTCAACAGATTGTAACAGCTTAAAAACCTGAATTTATAGTGGTATGAATGTTTAGAACTGGGATTCACTTGGAATATCCTCAATTGGCAGTTTTATAATTATGGGTACAGGAATGCGGGAAATCATTCACTTGATAGATCAATTAGCAATAAATTTGACATTTCAGTTAAAATAAAAATACATGCAAAATATGCATAGTACCTTCATAGGAAAATACATTATTGCAGTACCAGTCAGAAGTTTTAATGACAAAAAACAACTTTGTGAATATAATAGTTGGTCGTACTGTGACCTCCAAATGCTGGTGGGCTGCCAAACTTTCCTATTTCTTTGTTATATTTATGCAGCAAGTACAATGTAGAGGAATTCCTGATAGCTACCTTATTACTGTAAAACTTTTTAAAATGAGGGTTTGCCAAAAGAATAATGAAATCTTCACAAGGAAGAATTTTACTGGTTGACCTAAACCAGCAAGGCACTGAGTTTGTTTTTAAAACTTAAGCAGCCTGTTTTACTATTAAAAATTTGTTCATGTCATGGTTTTACAAATAATAGATAAATGTTGTATCTGGTACCAGTATCAGTCTGTAATTTGTTTTAGTGACTCCACTATATTCTCGTTTAGTTTTATAACACTCCCTTTCCTCAGGTAACCATTTTACAGAACCAAGCTAATGGCCAGTGCTCAGCAGCTGAGAGATTTACAGTACAATTTGGGGAAAACGTAAAAACAGGCTGCCAGTTCAGGTAACATTTTATATAGCCATTTACATTTTTGCTCTTCTAATTCAGGTTTCAGATGTACTGTATCTGTTTTGGCACATAAAGTGAAGAATTTTGCTAAACGCTATCTCCATCATATACTACATGTTCATTGAACATTGAAGGATTTGTGTATAAATATCTCCACAAATATTTCCAGATAATTACTTTCTGAAATTCCAGTTCTAAAAGGGCTGGATCTTCGTGTTGTCCTTCCTTTATAACTTATCTAGTTTTCCCATGTAGTTCTTTCTGACTGCATTAATAGGAATAATTTTTGTTCTGTTTATCTTTTTCTGTGTTTCATATTTGTGACACATGACGGCTTGGTCTTTTGCAGTATACCCTTCAAACCTGAGGAAAGAAGTTGTAATGACTTGCAGGAGCCATTTTACCAAGCCTTCGAAGGAGAACTCAGCACAGGGCATTTGGCCATAATTGGCAATGCTGATCCAGGCCATCCAGAGCAATGGACCAGAGTTTTTACCCAGAGGTGTAAATTGCAGGTAATGTGAGAAAGAACATCCAACTCCATTTATAGTTTCCTAATATACGTTTTGTCACAAGTACCAAAACAGACCCTTATTTTTTCAGCTATATCAAACTAGACATAATTTGTTGCAGTTACTGTACATTTACAGCTTTGTATTCAGAAAGAACTTTTTTTTCACTGGACCCAATGTGCCTGCTGTACATTGTTTGTTCTTTCCACGAATGGAGAGATGGAGATGACAGAACATTCTGTATCCCTTTGTAGTACTGTGAATTATGTTTTGTACTTGAATGTAAATGTTGCAGTAATTCTTACCTTACTTATGATTATCAACAGGAAGTGTTAGGGCTCCTGTTACCTAAATTTCGGTATCTTTTTTTTTTCTAGGATGGGCATTGTATGATTCCTGTTTCCCTAGAGATTCAGGTGATATGGTCAAATGTGGGCCTCTTATCTAATCCACAAGCTCAAGTGTTGGGTGCACGGTATTATTACCTCTGCAGACCTCTGAAGGTCAGTTTCACAGAATGCTGAATTCGAAAGTCATGCTAAACCATGATTTGTTTAATCTCAGTTTGCTGAATAAGTAAAAATATCCCGAATTCACATATTATGTTAGGCAAATGAAACAAATTGCAGTATAGCTTAACATGTATGAACTCAGTATCTTAAGGTTATTTTCTGATTTTATTGGGTAGTTTTGAGCTAATGCCAAATATAGTTCAGAGCTTCGTGCACAAAGCATAAGGAGATTTGGGCTTGTGGCTTTATGTGCTAGAATATGTAACCAAAAAATTTCACTCTTGAATTTGAATTAACCAGAATTCCTTCTTAAATCAAAATCTGGGGAAAAATTCTCACATTAAGTTCTAGTTAAATTAAGTGATTGTCTTGATTTGTTCATAAATTAGCATTTATACTAATCAGATTATCTGAATTCAGACATAAAAGAGAATTCTACTTTTAAAACTAAAGGATGCTTTATTTCATCAGAGGAGATAAAAATCATGTGTATGTATGAATTCATGACTTACTACAGGTTATATATGGAAGACTAAAAGAGCCAAGGGCCTGAAGTGCCCATTACATTTTATATTAAGGAAAGAATATTATGATAATAATGACAGAGATTCTAGTTTGTACAATAAATATTAAATAAAAGCATGCCATCAAATCATTCTGGCAACTGCCTGGACAAGGCAGTTGCCGGAATGATTTGAAAGCACAGTTTTATTAAATATTTATCGTAAATATTACAGCCTCTGGCTCTGTCATTATTATCATAGTGTTCTTTCTTTAAAATAAAATGTAATAGGCAGTTCTCTTTGGCTGGCTTTGTGCCTAAATAGCTCTGGTTCAATAGGGTGTAAGTGAATCTGTTCTTTTGGCAGAATGTTATAGTTCTTTAAAAGTCTTACGTAGCACAGAGCTTTCTGTTGCTACTTAGTGACTTATGAGGAAAGCAATCCAAAGGTCCCTGGAGATATAAAGTCCTCGAAAGTCAGAAAATCTAGAATCTAAATAATCCCTAGGTTCTGTGGACTTCCTTTCTGTATTTATTTTTACTTATGTGATGAAGAAAGTAATGATAAATCTAGAAAGGATTATCATTTTCTGTACCAATTCCTTTGTTATAAAATATCCTGTCTAGGAAACAGGAAGAATATTCATGACACACAGCTTCTTTTTATATCCAAATCCCTCAACAAATGCCACAGATCTTCTCTTAAATGTTCTATTCCATTTAAGCTGAAAGGAATAAACAGTAGTGTTAAATTATAATTAGTTCAGTAAGAAATGAAAGAGTTTCGTCCTACATTTTGTTCCTATCCTTTTTCCTACATTCTTTCCTCAAAACACTGGGTATATGGTAATAGCTAAATAATGTTATATACTCTGTTTTCTTTCAGTCTCTCGGTATATATATGAACATGTTGCCTTTGACAAGTACAGTTACCTTCACAGATGTTACCAAATGGCCAGAGTCACCTCATGGTCAACCTGACGTTTATAGGAAACTTCCATTTGATTTCTTCTTCCCTTTTAAAATGGCATTGAATGAAGCTGTGAATGGTTCATGCAACTTTTTGGGCACTTTGCTGATGTCATTAATGTTTTATGGAATATTTGTGAGCTTCTAATACAGAAAAAGAATAGCATTTCATGTAACATGGAATCAAAAATGGTTGCACAATGAGTGATAGAGCATTTAAGAGAATGGCTAATTCTCTTCCTAAATTCCTAAAGAAGGGAGGCTCTGCAACATCTATGTGTCAGATCATTGAGATGCATCTCAGCCAGTCTCAAGGTTGCATAGAAGGTTATGTGGACATCTTGTAAACCAATAGTCCATAATGTATGCTATGCATAACATTTAATGTTTAGCCCCTGACAGCAATTGTTCCATAAGTGATGCTGTTTCTATTTATGGATGGGCTGCGTGTGACAGGCTTGCTATCAGCCTGGGGGATGTAAAAGTGGGGGTCCAAAGCGATACTCGCAGGGGTTCTTTTTGTGTTCTGAAACCTCTGAATTTCTGTCTTCTGTGCAACTCCTTGCCTTTCTTCTGCCTAAAGGCGTGTTAGTGTTGAACAGGCATCTTTAGATTACAAGTGACAAAAAAATTCCTTAATCATGGACTCTTAGTATCTTTTTTCAAGATGAACTACATCAAAAGTATGAAGAATCCTGTAATTTTTAGTATATGTTTTTTCCTGTTGGGAATATGATTGAGATATTTGATAAATTACAATCCAGTAATTAATACAAATATTTATTTAACAGCTAATCTTTTAATTAAACAATGTTTATGCTGTTGTTGCTGTCACTGTTTAGAATACTAATTCTTCATTCATAGAATGCTCCAGTCTTTCCTAAAAGAGGGAGCCTGAAACATGAAAAGCTATAATATAAATCTATATAGGTGCCTTAATATCAGAATCACTCTTTAAATTGAAAAGATTTAATGATTATTATTTCATTAAAATAACATAACACACACAAGTGTTGTAATGAGTGTTTTCCACTCTCATGTTTTAATGTTTTAATTATCAATTACTATGTTGTATACAGTTATATTTGCAAATATATGCTTTGCAATGGTGGTACACAGCGGATGTGACAAATTATATCATTGATCATTGTAGTTTCATATAATGTTAAAAATTCTAGCATGCTTTCTTTCAGTAATTATACTTTGAATTTCACTTTCCTCAAGCAATTGAACTAATTGAATTCTTATGAATGATTCTTAGCATTTTGCAGCCATACACAATAATGCTAGCCGCTCTTTAATATTTTAAACCACAGAGGTCTTTAAATCGTTTTGCTACCAAATTACTTTTATGTTAAATCCACATGAATGAATGAATGAATGAATGAATGAATGAATGAATAAATGAATGAATGAATGAATTCCTTGAGAAACAAGAAATATTATCAGGGACTAAATCAGAATGCACCCCTACATTTGATTTACTTAGCTTCAGGTATTCAGTATTTCAGAATAGTAATGGATCCCTGTGGATCTATAGATCTTTTAAGATAATAAAAAAATTAGGCTTAAGCTAATTTCACAAGAGGAATGAATAAAATAACAAGCATTTTAAACTGTAACTAGTTTTATCAAAACATGCATATATAGGAGACTAGATATTGAATTACCTCCCCACATCAAACCTATTTTGATGAAAAGAAGATATGAATTGGAAAAGATTTTAGGGTTTTAGGGCAAAAGAAGTTCATGTTGCAAGTACAAAAATATGTTGAATTAAAGTTGGATTTAATCTTTTTTTTTTGTATCTTATGTATTCTCATATACATATTATTCAGCTTTTTTACTTGAAAAAGTTCATAATGTAGCCATGATGATCAGCTAGAAAGAGGATGCTTTTCAAACTTCCAGCTAACATTTCAGAATCTTTTCGAGTTATATAGCAGACAAATACCGTGACCTTCTACCTTGTCAACTCTAAAATAAGGACATTGTATGAAAAACTAGTTTTAGAGTCCAAATAGGAGAGTTAACAATTTATGACTTTCCAGTTGGAGTTCAATAAGACAGTGCTTGGCCAAAAGCCTGGCTTCTCTGTTTTCAAAATACACAGGGTTGTAAGTATTGCTGGAATACTTGTTCTCAGCAACTGTGTTCAAATATGTTTGCCTTTTCACAACAAGCCCAAAGAAATCACATTACATTTAAATGATGTTCTAATTCTCAGCTCTGTGTGCTATGCTTGCTTTGGCTTAGTGACTCATTGTGATTTATAATCCATGGTGTAATTCATGGGTTTAGCATATTATTCAAAGTGCAATAGAAGTTTGTATAAATAGGCTGCTTTTTGAAATGGTTAAGACACTAAGGCAGTTTCTCTGAAACATGTATGCACCAAATATTTCTTTCAAGAAACTTCATTGAGCATATTATTAATAAAGTGCATAGTCCATATATAATCTCAAACCCAAACTTTTGGGATGCTTGGATGAAAGGTTCCATATTGTTGCAAAGATATTGACATCTATCTGCGTAATCAAACTTAGTTTATTTCAATTCTTTTTTCATATGCAGTCTTTTCTTAAGTCAAAGAATTGATCAAAAGTATAGAATGTTACTTCATTATAAATCTTTATAAAGTTTATAAAGATTTAACTGTTTTGGATTATATATGTCTGTAAAGGTAAGTTGCTATGAGCTTCCATCAAGGAATCAAAATAAATAAAATACCACTGTGTAGCACCATTAGAAAGGTTATAAAATAGGAGATACCTTATTTCAGGATGTATGAACTATATCCATGATGGCGAACCTATGGCACGCGTGCCACAGGTGGCACACGTAGCCATATCAGTGGGCACGCCAGCTGAGCTCTGGTGCACATGTGCGTGCTGGCCAGCTGATTTTCGGGCCTTCTGGGCCCACCAGAAGTAGGGAAACAGGCGGTTTCCTACCTCCAGAGGGGCTGTGGGGGGAGGCCCGTTTTTCTTTCTTACCTGGCTCCAGATTCTCTCTATGCATCTGCGGAGAGCGAAAACAGCCTTTCCCACTCCCTTGGAGGCCCTCCAAAGGTCTGAAACGGCCCATTTCCCAACTCCCGGTGGGACAGGAAGTAACGTTTTTTGCTGTCCCCAGCCTCCAGAGACTCCTAGAGAGGCTGGGGAACAGCAAAAAATGTCACTTCCGGTCCCACTGTGCGTTGGGAAATGGGCCATTTCAGGCCTTTGGAGGGCCTCCGAGGGAGTGAGAAAGGTTGTTTTCACCCTTCCCGGATAAATAGAGAGGATTTGGATAAGGTAAGAAAGAAAAACAGACCTACCAGGCCATCGCTTGCCAGGAGCAGGGGGGGAGAGGGGGGGTTGCGCGCATGCGCAGGGCAGGGCACATAGAATTATCGGTGTGGGCATGCACGCATGTGACCCTCCCCCGTCCCCTCTCTCCTGGCACGTGATGGCAAAAAGGTTAGCCATCACTGAACTATATTCTGAGATGTGAAAGTAAAAAGTGAAATTTGACAATTACGTAAATTGAGGGAAGAGCACCCAGAGTTTCGGTGTGCATTGTGGCTCAAGATTTAATCACCAAATTACATATTAGATAACACGGCAATGTAAGTTTTTTTAAACATTGTCTAATGAAAGCAATAAAATCTTTATTACAAAATTTTCAATATTTTCAAAAATTGTAAATTGGATTGGAATTTTAACCTGTATTTTACTAACTGTTTTAGATGTTAGAAATTGATGAAAATAATTTACTTGATGTGCACTTTTTGTAAGCATTTTAATTAAAGTATTATTTTTTAAAAAAACTATTCTGTCTTTTTATCATAACCCTCAAAATTATTACTTTTGTGTGAAGTCTTTCTTTTTTATGTTAAAATTTTAAATTACAAAATTTAAAATGGTGCATTTTGCTAACTTAATACCATAGCATTAATAGCATTAATGCTGGTGAGAGTATATCCTTCCAGATATACAGTTTATCCTTAGTACAGTATATTACTTCCCATCAAAAGTTAGCATTTATAGTAGCCAGAGTCAATGTTCTCACATTTAGTAAAAGTGTAGGAAAGCCATATTGGAATAGTAAGAGGAAATGCTTACAGATTTTATCACTTTCATCTTCAATTCTGTCGTGCATTTAATTCTGAGCCTTGGTGGCGCAGCAGACTAAAGCACTGTTAAGTAACACCAGCTGCCTGCAATTACTGCAAGTTCAAATCTCACCAGGCTCAAGGTTGACTCAGCCTTCCATCCTTTCGAGGTAGGTAAAATGAGGACCCGGTTTGTGGGGGCAATAAGCTGACTTTGTATAAAAAAGAACACCACTTGGGGAGGGGGGCAAAATCCCTACTAAGCAGGTATATACAAAAGTATGAAGGCTACTGCTTAACGCATTGTAAGCCGCCCTGAGTCTCCGGAAAAGGGCAGCATATAAATCGAACCAATAAATAAATAAACTCATTTTATCTTTGTATTCCATGCTGAATTGTTTCCTGGAGCAGATTTTCAGGAACATTTATGCAGAAATCCCTAGTCATGTTTAATCAGAAATCTTGTTTCAAAAAATTTACTTCTAAATCATTATCCTTAAGAATGCACCTTAGCTATATTGCTTGTATGTATGGTTCACATATCTGAGAATTAGCTATTAAAGTGCATGTGATTCCCAATTGTAGAATGGATTTCTCCGATTGGGCTTTAGCTACATAACATCATACAACAAAGTCCACTTTTGTTGACATTAGTTGTTTAAGCAGGAGGCCAACTCCCAAATGGGTAACTACTGAGTACAGCGTGTTTCCTGACCTGCCCCATGCCTCAAAATAATCTTGAATGTTGACTTCCCTTTTTTGTCTACTTACTTTTGTCTAAAAGTAAACCAATATTCTGATGGAGCAATAAGATAACATATTAATATTTGGTTTAGACCCAAGTTGTCACTTTGTGTTCTTAGTTGTGAGGCAGCTGCTGACTATTAGGTAGTCATTGCATACAATATATTTCCAATCCAGATAGTTTATATTTAACAGGGACTACCCCTTCCATTTGTTTTGAAATAACAGATTCCAAATGTGAGCATAGTCTGTTTTTTCAAAAGTGATAAAGAGGCACTGAATATGGCTTTATATTCAGCTGCATGACTTATCTGTGCTGAGCAAAGTGGAACAACAGTGAGCAAAACAAAATTTTTAAGTACTGCAACATTCAGATTCAATCAAACATTTTTAAAAGGGGCTCATGGGAAACTATAGTATGTTAAGGTACAGTCTCTAAGATCACAGGAGTATATATGGTCTCTGAGCTTATTCAAAAGTTGCTGCCAAATCTTAATTTTAATTCAATTATCCCCAACAGGGATAATTGAATTAACTAAGATTTATTTTTTATAAATCATATGTAACTTGGGAAATAAACAGTCCCTGGTTTAAAAAGGGTTGTATCCTACTATATGTACTATATCTACATTTTACATTGTAAAATGTAAAACACATAAATAATGGGAGCACTCTTGGATAGTGGATTATGTCTCATGTGTTAGAGTAACAAGAAAGTTTTTATCCAAGTGTATATCCCAGTGCTGGAAAACATTTATATATAAGGTTTTTTGTTTTTTGTTTTTTGCTTTAATTTATATGCCGCCCTTCTCCGGAGACTCAGGGCGGTTTACAATGCGTTAAGCAATAGCCTTCATACTTTTGTATATTTATACAAAGTCAGCTTATTGCCCCCACAATCTGGGTCCTCATTTCACCTACCTTTGAAAGGATGGAACGCTGAGTCAACCTTGAGCCTGGTGAGTTTTGAACTTGCAGTAATTGCAAGCAGATGTTAATAACAGTACTTTAGTCCACTGTACTACAGGCTCTTCCTGTATGTATGTATGTAAGGTATGTATCTATGCATGTGTGTGTATATGTATATGTATATAATACACACACAGCAAGCATAAACACATTTATTGAATTTTGTGCCACACTACAATTAAAAAATTCTTATCAGTTTACACATACACACTTCTTTCCAAAAAATTACTTGAAACATCCATAGTACAAATAAAAGCTTTGTAAATCAATATAATTTATTAAAATTACATTCCGTTGTGTCCTGAGTCA